GTTATTATATATATATATATATATATATATATATATATATATATATATTTTCGTTACCTTTCTAAAAATATAATTTTTACAAATTTCTAGAAAGCGATCGAATAGACTCGATTTCACTTTACTTTCTGTTTTTGCTCACTTTTTTCTTTTCCTTTTTTTCTTTTTCTTTGTCGAGAACTTAATCAATCTCGCGATCACAACGTTTCGACGCATAATAACGGCAAGAATAAATGAAAATTCGTTATTCGTAAAAAAGAAAAAAAAGAAAAAAAAAAACGTAGACGTACGTACCTATTTTTCGCGGCAGCAGCACGATCCCTTTGCCTCCTGTTCTTGAACCAATTACCAACCTGCGTCGGCGTGAGGCCCGTCGCCGCGGCGAGTTCCCTCTTCTTCCCGGGATTCGGATACGGATCCTGGAGGTACCACTCTCTCAACAACGATCTGGTTCTCTCCTTGAAGCAATGAGTCTTTTGTTCCCCATCCCAGATCGTCCTCGGTAATGGAAATTTCTTTCTAACCCTGTACTTATCCACTGGGCCTAGGGGCCTTCCTCGAAGCTTCTCGGCTTCCTGGTAATGCGCCTCCAGCCACATCGCTTGGAGTTTACCATGGGAATCCTTGGTGAACTTGTGCCTCTCCAGTATCGCGTACAATTCTCTGTAATGTCCCGAGTGAAATGCGACGATAGCCCTTGCTCTAAGCACAGCCTCGCTTTGATTCAATTCCTGGATGTTGGGATGCGCGACCGGAAGGCTCCAAAGGAACCTCGCCAGCCTCTCGATGTCGCCACTTTCTTCCAGGGTTTCGCACACGGTGGCCACCTGGCCGACGGTGAACGACAACGTTGGCAACGCAAAAACCGGAGCAGGTACGATTGGACCGTTGGCAGAGGGTGCCGTGGCACCGGTCCCCGCTGGTGCTACGGCTGACATCTCTTCCGTCTCGATTCTCCAAGATCCTTCCCGCTCCAGGATCCACTTATGCTCGAATTAATTAATTGTCCGCGCCAAGGGAGCAGCCTTGCTTCAAAGCATCGATGTCACCGTTCTCTCCTCCTCCTCCTCCTCCTCTTCCTCCTCTTATCGGGCTCAAGAAATTATCCGACTCGATTTGTGTTTGCTCTTGGCGCTTCTCATCGTGTCTTCTTCCTCCCTCCGTCTCCAAGGATTGTCATTACTGTCCCCCTATATACTCTTCTCGATCACTCGATCAATACGTATACGTCATCACTTCACGGCAATACGATACGACACTGATATTATCTCGTTTCGGAACAACGAGCACAGGACAACGAAGTTTTCCGTCACTCGACGATTCGTGTGACGCGAGAAAGGAACGTCGTTTCTTCGACGACGAGATTATTCCTTTCCTCGATTCGATCTCTCCCCCCTCTCCAGAATCTTCAGTTCGTTCCTAATCCTAATCCGCGAAAATGTATCGCACTAAAATGTTTCGAAGACGAGGCTCGAAAAGAGACTCGGAACGGGGTTGACGTTCGCAACGAGAGCGATGGCCCGATGGCGGCTTCGTCTTGTTCGCCGCTTCGCCTCTCGACGACTGAATCTCACCCCCGAGAAGGTATCCGTCAGGTGCTGTCCCCGAGTTCTCCACCAGCTAGATATCCTCCGGGGTCACATCGGGCGAAAAGCGCACGCTGACGTTCTCCTCGGCCGTGGGGATATCACGCGAGGCCGCTGTTGCCTGGATCGTATCGGATAGCAAACTGGTTTCGTTTACAAGCCGGCATCTCGGCACCGGCCCTACCCAGCATGATACGTTTGTACGCGCCCGTTGCAACCGGGTAGTCCCGCCGGCTCTTGCTCGACCTACCTCTACCTCGTCCTCTCTTTCACTCCTCTCTCTCTCTCTCCGCTCGCTCGCCCGTGCCCCCGTCCCTTCCCCCGCCCCCGGCCACCCTCCCGCCCCCGGGGGGAGAAGCTGGAGAAAGAGAGACGGGCGCACGGCACTCGGGGGGCCAATGTAGAGGCCACGCCCACCAGCCATACCGGGATTGGCCCGATCCCATCCACGTCGCCATGGCAACCTTTCTTCGTCCTTCCGTACACCAGTGTCCGTGTTCGCGTTCGTGTCCGTTTAATTATCCCTTCCACGTGCCACCGCTCCACCACCGTTCGCCGATCCCACCACCACCGTCCCCCACCCCATCCCTCCGCCCCTCTCCCGTCCCCCACCACCGGATCCGCGAACGCCACAGACGTCTCTCACGCCTTTCCCCCCACCCTCTTCCCTCCCCTTCCCTCTCCCTCTCGCTCGCGAATCGTGAGCCGAGCGAGACGGGAGCATCGAGGCGAGTGAGAACGATCGATGCCCGCTGGGGGGGGGGGATGGTGGGGAAGGCAAGGAACGGGGGAAACGGCGAAGGCATGATCCCCAGCCGTTCAACCGCTGCCGTTCCTGCTGCCGTTCCGTACCTTCTGTTGCTCCTGCTGCCGTGATCTCTCGACGAGGTGCCGCTTTCGACCGAGGCTCACCGCTCTCGTTTTCGTGCACCAACCAAGCCTACAAGGTCCGTCGAGGCTTTCCGTTTGTCGCCACGTCGCCCCCGCGACGTGCCTTCCCTCGTTATTCCGGTTTCCACGCCACGAAACGAAACTCGTTTGTCGCGATTCCATTTTCGGTGGAATTCGATTTTTTTTTCTTCCTTTCTCTTTTTCTTCTTCTTTTTTCTTTTTTCTTTCTTCTTCTTCTTCTTCTTCTTCTTCTTTTTCGAGCTTCGAACGAATCGGGAGGAAGAGTTCGAAGAGATGTGTTTTTAGGTTATTTTTTTTTTTTTTTTAATTAAGAATTTCGTGTCGAGGACGTTGAACCGCTCCAAGGAATTTCTCGCTCCATTTTCCATTGTTGGAACTTGGACAGAATTTCTATCTCGATCATATCGGGGCAATACGGATAGAAGCCCTTTATCGACACGCGACTAGATTTCATTTCTCGTCAAGACGACAGGTGCACGCGTATCGAGAAGCCGAGGACGCGCGACGGCGCCGAAGGCGTCTCCGTTTTATCGAACGCACAGCCGCCGCAGGAGCTTCAGTCTCGTGATAAATATTCCGATTCGTAACTCTGACGTATCCAGGCCGACGTGTCTATTCCTTTCTTCGCAATATTGGTCGTCAGCCTTTTTACCCACCGCGCTTCTCGCTGGGAATCCTCAAAGAAACTCGCGCGCGCCACAGTTCCAACAACCCTTAACACCGACTTACGTTTAAAGATTGATGAAACGATCTAACGAAATCCTCAAACGCCTCCACCTTTCGACGAATTATTATCATCATCTTAAATATTAAAAAAAACTCGTCGACGACGGAGAAGCGAGCAATGTTCGTTCCTCCTCGATAAGTTTCTTAGTATCGTAACCGTTCCTCCCACGAAACGGAGGAGGAAGGAAGGAAATATAATATTCTCGTCGATCGGTTCTCTGCGATCGCCGCCCTCGTTGTCGAGAGGAAGGAGGACGAGCAGGCGACATTGGCCCTGGTTAAATCGGATTATATCCGGCGAAAGGCTCGGATTATCGATAGTTTTTCGAAACGCAGGAGACACACCGCCGTGCTTCCTGCGTTACGTTGCGATCCGCCATCCATCCGTCTGCGCAACACGTCGATTCGTATAACAGTCATTACTCGATATCATCCTACCCCGGCGCGCATGACGAGGGGTGGAAAGAGAAGGAGGAGGGGAGTGGGTAGGAAGGGGAGGGTGGTTACCGGTGGTGCAAATTTTCAGAGTAACCGTGACACGAAATCGCCTCGTGTAATCTAGCTACGCGACAATACAGCTCTCATAGCGTTAGAGCCGGATAATGACGCGACTTTGTTACCGGGAGGAGTCTACGTAAATTCATGCCATTTTCCCGGCCTATCACTTTGACCCCGATTCAACCTGGCCGCGTTAAATCGTGTTTCCTCTTTGTCGCTCGCTTGTCGATCGCTCGTTTTTATCGGCTCCGCTACTTTTCAACGGGCAATTTACCACGTTTCGTTTAACGGAACGGCGTAAGGAAGTATTATCGGTTAGCTCGTCGATAAATGTGAAAAATAATTATTCCTCCTCGTCTGTGGAGAGATCGATCGATATCGTGGAACGGGGGAACGTGTCAACTTTATTAAATATTTAAATCTGTTGCGAGTTATAATTGCAATTGTGATTTTGTGAATCGTTTAAGAGTGAAGTTGGAAAATGTTCAATGACGATTAAAATGGTTGAAATGGACGAGACTGTGTCTTTCAGGTTTCTTTTGGCGGGGATTGTACATACGCGAGAGATACACATCCGATCGAAGTTCAGATATTTTTATTCACGAATCTGTAACGGAACACGGTTAATCGAGGGAGGATATGAGATTTCGAGAGGAAAATTTACGACCGGGACGAATTCGACTCTTCTCGACGCTCTGCTGAAAGCGTCGAAAAATCGGTCTGCAATGTTTCTAGAAAATGATTTATTCAAATCCAAAACACATGTTTCACACCGGTGGCATCGTAGAATCCTTGAAAAGTGCGAAGCTCTGGGTTTTCCCCAAGAAAATTCTTAAGAATGTACAGTCAATTAGGTGGAGAGGAGACAATAAAGTGCCAACAAACCCCTGGTCGAGGGATACTGACCGACCACTAAATTCGAAAGCTGGTAAATACCTATAGGACTCAATTATCCTTCGACTGGTGGTTTTATTCTGTTCGATCCACCATCCATCCACGAGAATCAACCGTATTATCTCATCTTGTGCGTTTTTTTTTTTTAAAGATTTTTTCTTGCGTTTGCGTTTCTCCTAATTGCAATTTATCTCGTTCCTTATCCAATCACAAGAATGGTCGAAGATACGAATTTTAATCTTCCATTCGTTTTAAGCAGATTTGTAAACGATAAATGTATGATCATCGAATTTTCGATACGACGATTTGACCGTTTGTTTCGATTCTTTCTGATACCTGCCAATGAACGATAATCGCTTTATTAACAGACAGATTATCGCAAATAGACTCGCGTTGCTATTAAATATTAATCATTGGTGTTTGTTCGAATCGAGTGGATTTCTATTTGATCGAACGTATATTGTTAGATACATTGATGATTAATAAATACGTTTGCGCTCGATGGTCCATGAATTAGCGTTTCGAATTGAAATTATATATATATATATAAAACTAATATGATAAAATCGTGGTTAACATTTGTGATTTTTTTATTCCAAATAGAAAATATCGATTTTATTTCGAAAGTAAGGTATAAAAACAGGATTATTTACGAGGTACGGGTTTGCAGAAAATTGTTAATTTTGATTAACGTGACGAGCGGTTGTAAATATCTGTTTAAAGAATTCTTCGTCGATCCCTGGATCCTTGCCTTTTAATTCCCGTGAATAGTGAACAATTAATCGCCCCGTCTAATGGATAAATTCCTCTGATTGCGCGCATTAGCAGGGAAAGCGTGTTTGTATAGTTGCATAGGCGACGGTAGACTACGCGCATCGTATAATACGATAACGGATGCGCGATTGTTCGCAGCTAGCCCTTCCCAATCGTTTTCAATAAATACACGTAATCAACGGACGTGCCAACGCATTATTAAAATTAATTAATCCTATTAGTTAGCATTTCCTTTATAAACTCTTCAAAATTGGTTTTCTCGTTTCCAACAACATATTCCACTCTCTGGAACAGAATATCGATCATTCGCCCCGTAACGTAATGTTACGAACAAATTCTGTCAATCCCGTTTCGTTTCACCAGTTAAAGCAATTATAACCAGTTTCTCAATTCTAAATTGAGAAAATTTGGGAAGAAAAGAAAAAGGAACGTTAAAATAATTAATGCTACCATCTCGTTCTCTCGCGAGTGAAAGCATACCGATAAAAATTCAAAATTTGAATCGGCACCCGTGAAATTTCATTCTTAATTATCAAGGATAAACGCGTTTAACGTAATGTCGCTGATGACGCCACGATGACGATGACGAATTGCATTCACCATAATAGAATATCGGGCGAGGAATGTCTCGCAGATAAATGTCACGATAACGACAGGTTAGGCCTAGGTGGGCGCATTACACCGTTCCATCATCCAACCCCCGATTACGCGGATCGACCTATCTTGAGGGGGGAGGGGAGGGTAGGTTGCTGGTGTCCGTTTGTTTGCTGACCTTCCTAGACAAATGATTTCGTCGCACGACAACCATTTCGCCTTTTTTTTTTTTTCTTTCCTCCACTTTTCTTCACCTCTTCTTTCACCTCTCTTCTTCCACA